CTATCAGATGGGAGTAGCTAAAAGCCTCCAGATGAGGGGGTATGAGAGGTCTCTGCCCAGGAGGCAGCACTGAGGATTGGAAACATTGTACTTGGCACTAGCTAATGAAGACTCAAGGTGTAGTTCAATCATAGCCAATGGAAGGGCAAGCTACACAAAAATAAAGTGTCAGTGTATCTATTGCTCTTCCTCCGAAGGGTCACACAGGTGCAGTGCATGGCCACTTACAACAGCGGTGGACCACTCTCTTGTTTGGGGGCAACCCATGTGTTCACTTTTGAATTTGGTAAGTTTGCTTTTTACATAATAATAACAGCCAACACTTTATCTGGCACTTCCTGCGAGGTGGAGCTCTCTCCATAGCTCATTTCCTCCGAATGACCCTATGAAGTGAGGCCTATTATTTAAAGATGAGGAAATGGAGGCAGTGAATCTGCTCAAGGTCACACAAAAGTGAATCTGCTCAAGGTCACACAGCAAGGAAGTGGCAGAGGCAGGATGTGAACTGGGGCTCACTGACTTGGGTCAGGGCCCTTAACCACTGTGGTCTCTCTCTCTCTCTCTCTCTTTTTTCTAAAACCTTGCTTTTTTTCAAGGGGAAGATCTACATGTTTAAAAATATACTTTTTGTTGATTTCAGAGAGGAAAGGAGAGACATATAGAAACAACAATGATGAGAGAGAACCACACATCGCCTGCCTCCTGCACGCCCCCCCACCGGAATCGAACCCTGACCTCCTGGTTCATAGATTGACGCTCAACCACTGAGTCACACCGGCCCGGGGCCACTGTGGTCTCTTAACAAAATTTTTTTAAAGGAAAAAAAATGTTTTAATAATAGGAACAGGGTCACAAAAACACCAAGTAAATGCTAGAGCTTAAAAAATAGAGATACTAGTATGTTTCAGTCACTGGTTTATTCAACACATTTATTGAGCAGCTTCTGTGTGCATGGAGCTGTTCTAGGCACTGGGGAGACAGAAAGTACTAAGGGACCCTAAGTGCCCCTGTGCGCCCCAGGAGGGCAGGCCTCGGCCCGGCACCGGGCACACAGTAGGCGCTCACCATGCATTCCCCGGATGAACTTGTGGATCTGTGTCCCGCCCGCGAAGCTTCCACGGCCAGGTGGGGAGGAAACGGACCCAGCACTATCGCGGCGACGTGGGACCCTGGGAATCCCACCAGCCCGGCTCTGCAGCAGGACCGACCCGTGTCCCCGGCGCCCTCCGCGAGGCCGACGCGGCTCGGCCAAGACCGACTGGGAGGAGCGATCAGCCAGCCCGGGGTCCCGGCCAGTCGCCCCAAAGCCCCCGCCACCTTCCACCTTATGGCTAGGACTCCCGGCTCCTTCGCGGATTCACAGGCGAGACCTTCCCTCCTGCTCCATACGCGACTCCCGCTGCCTTTTCAAACCACCGCGTCTTCCCGCCCGGCGACCCTCGC